CTTAACAATGTAACATAATCTTTGATCTATCCCACAATTATCTATTTCCCCTCTTTCATGGAGTCCGATCCAAATTCTAATGCTTTGAACCCAAGAGATTGTACTCAAGGCATATGTTCCACATTTTGTCCTCAATGGTGTAGTTACATCAACTTCTTATCTCCACCACCAATCTCCTATGAACAATTCCTAAACGACGGCGTATCATCAAACCCCAATCTCTCCCCTCTTGTCCTCGCCATTATTGGAATCTTTGCAACTGCCTTTCTCTTGGCAACTTACTACACTCTTGTCTCGAAGTATTGCTCCAACGACACGAGCGATGAAGCTTCCTCGGAAATGGGAAGATCCGATCAAATTCTCGACGTTAACTCGCCGGAAAGTCAACACCAAGATGACTCTTATGCTCATGAGTCTTCAAACGCCGGTTTAGACGATGCCCTGATAAAAAAAATCGGGTTTTTCAAGTTGAAGAAGCATCAAAACGGTCTCAAGATCAATGGTACGGATTGTTCCATATGTCTTGGAGAGTTTAACGAAGAAGAGAGCTTAAGGTTATTGCCTAAATGCAATCACATTTTCCACGTCATTTGTATTGATCGGTGGCTCAAATCTCACTCGAATTGTCCGCTTTGTCGGGCTAAGATCATCGTCCCTACCACTCAAGAACCGGACCATCGCCTTGTGGTAATCAATCTTGATCGGTTTACTAGCAATGTTGGATCAAGAGAAGGCAATGTAGTCGTTGTTGATCATCGTGAAGAGGTTAGTGATTTGGTTAGTTCTCATCATCCACGCCGATTCTCGGCCGCGGATATTGTTATGCGGATGAGCAGAGACGGAGAAGAGGAGGAGGAAACTTATGATCTTGAAAATGGAAACAGAGTGAAACGACTTATAGGCTTGAAAAGATCATTCTCAAGTGGTAGATTGATTCTTGGGACTCAAGGAAGGACTAGGAGATCTCTAAGCCTACTTCCTTCACACTAAATTATTATTATTATTGTATTTACACTTTGAGT